GCGCTGTTCTTAAAACAAAACTCTCCTTCCTAGATCTTGCTGTAGGATTTTAGGGAAGGTCACTAGGTGATGCAAGCCCTGCACCTAGATTCTGATTGAAATTTTCCAAAGGAAATCCACTTTAACAGGTAAGTTTTTGATTAGCTTTTTTTTTATCATGACTTGTTCCTTTTTTATATGCTTTCTATCTTGTTTTCATTTATCTGTGATTATTGTTTCTTTCAAAAACTACTGTTATTTACTTGCTGTAATGTACAAATCGTAGAAAATGGAGTAGCTACCAACTAGTTTTCCAAACTTTGGATCAATTAGTTTTGTAATTGTGTCAATATGAATGGTTGAAGAAGTTTCACTGCATAGTCCTTTAGCTCATACCTCCACTTCACTAGGTTGAATCGTCATAATCTGACACATAGGCGCATATGGACTCGAAGTTGTTTTACTCTGAACTTTAAAAAAGATATGTTCTACTTCTCAATGCATTGCAGTGGTTCAATTACTTACATTTAGCTCGCTAATCTTCATATTCAAAGCTTTTTGCAAAAATGTGATGCCGCCCTAGTTATCAGGCTTCTGCCGCCCTCACATTACACTTTGTTGTTTTGCTTCTTGTTAAACTTCAGTCTCATGTCGTTGAGCTCCTGCAAAGCACTGGACTTTTGCATTGGTGCTGAACGATGGAGCGCCCTGTACTGTTGAGGACCACTTCCAAATTTTTTACTATCGCTATCGTCAAGTTAATATAGTCGATGCCTTCAATGTTTGTTCAGGCAATTCAAAACATATCTTCCCCTCTACTCTGGTTGTTTTATCGATTTTTGTTGCTGTTTGCTCTGGTAGCAGCTGGTTTTGATAGTGACGGTTTTTTTGAACATCTTTGCTTTACTGGATTGTTTTAATTGTACAAAGACAATTCATGTATGGACACTCCGCTGCCGCTCATTGATGTTTCTTCTCGTTTAACCGAACGATTACCTCGTTTGCGAATGGCTGAAAAGGTTTCATTTTTCATTTTTTTTCAGATGCGCGAATTCAAAGTGGTGGTGCTAGGTAGTGGAGGTGTAGGAAAGTCGGCGCTTACAGTTCAGTTTGTCAGCAGTACGTTCATCGAAAAATACGATCCTACCATAGAAGACTTCTATCGAAAGGAAATCGAGGTTACGTTTTTTGAATTCCATTTTTTGTCTTTTAGCTATAGTTCATGCTTTGCACTGTTTAGTTGAGCGTCCTACATACCTACTTTTCTGTGAAAAACTTGCGCGCACATATCTTCCGAGCTCAAATGAAACGCGACGCCCCAATTTGAGAGTCATTTCGAGTTGTTATAAATTACTATCTTTCACTTTTGTTTTGAGAATAAATTGAAAATAATTTTATTATTGTGGGAAATCTCATGGATTTTTCAATGTATTAGAAAAACTGAAAAGTACTATCAGAGCGATGCTAAATATAGAAACATGCACAGTATTGTAATCAAGTCATCAAAACAAAGTTTCTGAGAAACTGATAACTACGTTTTGTTGGCGTCTACACACACCGACTGGGATCTATTCCTCTGAGTTGCTTTTCGATTTGTCATATTTTATACTTTGCAGGTCGATGGTCAACCCTGCGTTTTAGAGATTCTGGACACTGCTGGTACGGAACAGTTCTCATCTATGAGAGATTTGTATATCAAAAACGGGCAGGTAGGCTGGTACTTGTTCTCCAATTGACCTTCTAAGTACCTGCATTAAAATGTGACAGTATTACTTGGATGAGGTAATTTCAGGGTTTTGTAGTTGTGTATTCAATCACAAGCCAACAAACATTCCATGATATCAAAACAATGCGGGAACAAATTGTACGGGTCAAGGTCGGTTGAATCGATCTTCTATTTTGAAACAATGAGCTCTCTAATTTTTGCTTTAGGGGACAGAACAGGTCCCAATCCTATTAGTAGGGAACAAATGTGATCTTCAGCACCAGCGACAAGTAAGGACTGATGAAGGCATAGCACTAGGTACGAACGAAATGATTTCCCTTATTTTTATGATTTTTTTCGAAAAATATTCTGTAATTCTTTCTTAATTGTTCGTCATTTACTACGTTTTCTTTTGAATGACAAGAGTCTTTTCATATCTTCGCAGTAGTCACCTTCACAAAAGTTTTTTGTTGTGAATTACTCACTAATATTGATGTACTCGTACATACTCCTGCATATAGTCTGTTCCACTAAGCGTGACTGCAGGTCTGCTTTGTCTCAGGTAGCACAATTATGCGCCGCATGGTGCGGCTGCTGGCTTTAAGCATTTTGGCATTCTAGCTTTGAAATTCTCTGCGCTCTCTATGCTCGCTTTATGTGTACCATTAGATGCGCTGCCTTTATTATCTGCAAATCAGTTTTTTTT